GTGGCCGAGGAGTGCCAGCACCCTGCTGAGTGAATCGGCAGCACCTGCCCAGCCAAGTGTCCCGAGTGGGACCCAGGAGTTGAGACTGAGCCTGCGATAGCATGTGGCTAGTAAAGGAAGCAGGAGCTCACATGAGGGCGCTGCTGAGCCAGCGGCTGGTCACCTCACCCACCAGCTCCCTGGCATGATGTAAAAATGTATTTCTGGAACGAGAGACTCCGCTGAGTGTGTAATAAATGCCACTATTTTCTAAATCCTATTTAAAACCGACCCCGCTCGCCTCTGGTGCCGTCTGCTCTTCGCACGCCAAGGCTCCTGCACCCTTCCTGCCAAAGAAACCCCGGAGCCGTGCTATGCCGAGTGTGCTGGCTGGGGCCAGGCTGGGTGTTGCAGGGGAAGGGCTGCGGCCCCGGGAGCCGTGAACTACAGAAAAATCTCCCTGCCTGGTATGGGGGGGTGGCTAGAGCTGGAGCCAGCTTCCCTGCAGCATGGGCTGTCTAGGAGTGAGCCAGCTGCAGCTGCATGCAGTGTGGGGCAATAGCTAGACTGGTGAGTCTCAGCCTCTTTACCATTGTGGGCCCCGCCTTCTATATGCTGCCTCTGGCCCAGTGTGCCCCTGGCCCCAGCTGTGCGCTCACTGAGCCACAAGCAGCCTGCATTGACCTAGCTCCTCCCTGTCAGGGCACCCTCCAGTGCCAGGAATCCCCCCTGCCCCCCAGCGGTTTGTGCCTGTCCCACCCTATGAAGAGAAGCTTGGGCAGAGGGCAGCCGTCCCTTCGACTCAGCTAGTGCCTGGCGCTGGAGGGGCGAGATGGAGAATCAGCTGGCAGGAAGCCTTGTGCCTGGCAGCCAGGTGAGGTAGAGGGGAGAGCACCCAGGGCACTGCTAGCTGTTCTAGGGCTATTGGGTGTGGGAGCAAATGCTGGGGGGGCGGCCTGTGCTGGCTGCCTGGCCTGAGTCTCAGCCCTTGAGCTGGGCCAGGTCCGTGTCTGCCCTGGAGATGAGGCTGTGAAAGGGGCTCCTGCGGGAGCCAGGCACACTTGGCCCCCTCCAGCTGAGCCGGTGATCCAGCCAGGGGAGCAGCTCCCCTCCCCCCAAGGGCTAAGGAATTCCATGCGGCAGGGCTGCAGAGCCAGCACCTTCTCCCCCAGGAGACACCAGCACCTGACTTCCAGCCACCCTAGTCCTTGACATCCGGTCTCCTGACTCCTGCTCCAGTCAGAGTGCAGCCCCAGCTTGAACACTGACCAGCAAGAGTCTCCCTGATGGCTGAGCTGCCTCCTGGAGGGTTCCTGCGCAACCAGCCACACAGCCTGCCGCCTCGGCGATGCACCTCGCGTTCCCAGTGCATCGCGCCTCCCACTGGCGCCCAGCGTCAGGCACAGGGACTTGTGCAGCACCAGGCAGCCGGGGCCCTGGGCCTCGTTGGGGGGCGGGGCACAAGCAAGAGGGGAACATGGTCTGGTGCCCACAAAGCCCAGTGTCCCCCAAGGTCAAGCAGCAGAGACGTCAACCAGCCTATGGCTGCACTGGTGGGTTCTTGCACAAGAACCCGCAAAGCACCCACCCTACCCGCCCACTCTTGTGCAAGAAGATTTAGTGCGGCGTTGGAAGAGGGGGCCTCTTGCGCAAGAACGACGTGCTTTTCGAACAAGTGTGAGCCCTCTTGCACAAGAGGGCAGTGTGGACGTGCACGAAAGACGTCTTGTGCAAGAAAGCCCTATGCCTAAAGTGGCCACCAGAGCTTTCTTGCGCAAGAGAGCGTCCACCCTGCCATGGATGCTCTTGCGCAAAAGCACACGGCTGTGTGGACATGTTCTTGCACAAGAACCCACCAGTGTAGACAGAGCCTCAGGGAGCAGGGCAGCTAGCGGATGAGATGGACACAGTAGCGCTCAGCATTTCAGCCTTGCCTGGGGCCTGGACCGCACTGCTCCCCCCAGCAACTGACCGGCCGGGTGCCAAGCACTAGCCTGCCAGCTCTTCCCTTCCAGCACAACCAGCGCCTGCTATTCCCTGGCTGCAGCACGCTACAGTGCAGCACCTAAGAGCTCACCACTGGGTCCAGCCTCAGGCTCCTGCTCTCAGAGGGGCTATATGGGGGGCAAGCCAACACTACACAGCCCAATGGGAGGGAGGGCCGCAGTGAGGGCTGTATGGCGCTACAAGCGGCAGTGGGGTGGAGGTGCCCTGGAGGCTGGGATGCCGTGCAGCGAGTCACACACCAAGCTGCACACGGGCCGGGCCAGCCTCCCACCCTGGCTGAAGGAGGCAGGGAGCCGCCTGCCACAGGTTGGCAGCAGAGGTAATAGTTGCCTCCTCAGTCTAGCAGAGTGGACCTGGGTGGGGAGGGGGGCAGAGGAGCCCTGCCCCAGGCGTCACTCAGCATGTGACCCGCTGCACAGGGAGGGGGAGAGTGAAGGCTCGTGGCCAGGGCCACACAAGCTGTCTGGTGCAGGGGCGGTCCCTGGACCGGGGGCGGGGGAGTTGCCATTGGCGACGGTGGCCCCAATCACTGTAGCATCCTCCCCCCTCCCCAGAGTGGCCCAAGACACGTGCTGTTCCCACAAGACAAAGGAAAGGCGAGCGGGATTTGAGTCCCCCGGCCACGGGGGGGGGCGGGGGGGGTAGGAGGCTGCCTGGCGCCCTGCACAGCTGACCAGAGGTTGAAGGGCCATTTCTCGTAGGGCACGTGCAACCCCCCCCCAAGATGGGGGGACTAGGCACCTTCCCTGTCGCTGCTGGCTGAGGCCAAGGTCTGCTCACTGCTTGCCCCCCCAGCCCTGTGGTTGCAGGCTGGGGGCTGAGCTGGCCAGGGGCACTGGCCCGGCGGCAGGCGGGGAAGGGCTCCAGCAACACTTGCCTCTCCGGGCCCCTCTATCACAGCAGGACGGTGCAGGGCTCCAGCTGGCGCAGCCTCCCTGGGCTGAGCGCTCCGCAGGCACCGTGGTAACAGGCAGGGACACAGGATTTCCAGCCCGCCCCAGGTAGGCACTAGCACTTGAGCTGGTCGTGGGGAGGCGCTCGCCGTCCGCAGCGCATCGAAAACGAGCCCTGCTGGCCCGACAGCGCCCGCCCGCAGCGCATCGAAAACGAGCCCTGCTGGCCCGACAGCGCCCGCCCGCAGCGCATCGAAAACGAGCCCTGCTGGCCCGACAGCGCCCGCCCGCAGCGCATCGAAAACGAGCCCTGCTGGCCCGACAGCGCCCGCCCGCAGCGCATCGAAAACGAGCCCTGCTGGCCCGACAGCGCCCGCCCGCAGCGCATCGAAAACGAGCCCTGCTGGCCCGACAGCGCCCGCCCGCAGCGCATCGAAAACGAGCCCTGCTGGCCCGACAGCGCCCGCCCGCAGCGCATCGAAAACGAGCCCTGCTGGCCCGACAGCGCCCGCCCGCAGCGCATCGAAAACGAGCCCTGCTGGCCCGACAGCGCCCGCCCGCAGCGCATCGAAAACGAGCCCTGCTGGCCCGACAGCGCCCGCCCGCAGCGCATCGAAAACGAGCCCTGCTGGCCCGACAGCGCCCGCCCGCAGCGCATCGAAAACGAGCCCTGCTGGCCCGACAGCGCCCGCCCGCAGCGCATCGAAAACGAGCCCTGCTGGCCCGACAGCGCCCGCCCGCAGCGCATCGAAAACGAGCCCTGCTGGCCCGACAGCGCCCGCCCGCAGCGCATCGAAAACGAGCCCTGCTGGCCCGACAGCGCCCGCCCGCAGCGCATCGAAAACGAGCCCTGCTGGCCCGACAGCGCCCGCCCGCAGCGCATCGAAAACGAGCCCTGCTGGCCCGACAGCGCCCGCCCGCAGCGCATCGAAAACGAGCCCTGCTGGCCCGACAGCGCCCGCCCGCAGCGCATCGAAAACGAGCCCTGCTGGCCCGACAGCGCCCGCCCGCAGCGCATCGAAAACGAGCCCTGCTGGCCCGACAGCGCCCGCCCGCAGCGCATCGAAAACGAGCCCTGCTGGCCCGACAGCGCCCGCCCGCAGCGCATCGAAAACGAGCCCTGCTGGCCCGACAGCGCCCGCCCGCAGCGCATCGAAAACGAGCCCTGCTGGCCCGACAGCGCCCGCCCGCAGCGCATCGAAAACGAGCCCTGCTGGCCCGACAGCGCCCGCCCGCAGCGCATCGAAAACGAGCCCTGCTGGCCCGACAGCGCCCGCCCGCAGCGCATCGAAAACGAGCCCTGCTGGCCCGACAGCGCCCGCCCGCAGCGCATCGAAAACGAGCCCTGCTGGCCCGACAGCGCCCGCCCGCAGCGCATCGAAAACGAGCCCTGCTGGCCCGACAGCGCCCGCCCGCAGCGCATCGAAAACGAGCCCTGCTGGCCCGACAGCGCCCGCCCGCAGCGCATCGAAAACGAGCCCTGCATGCCCCAACGCTCACGCTACACGGACGCTCGCTCGCATGCAAGGCCACCCGGAACCACGTCAGCCAGGGTGGTAGCTGTCCGGGCTGGGGCCAACAGCACTTGGAACCTGTTTCTCTGCTGCCTGCTTTCCAACCTCTTTAGGGGCCAGCAACGCTCTGGCAGGGCCTGTGCTCATTACCCAGCATTCGGACCCCACAGCATTCTTCATGACATGGCCCCAGAACGGCCCCTGAGCACGCGCTGGCCCCACATGGCCATGCTGCCTTCATGGCCCCACATGAGCTTGACACCAAGCTCAGCCTGTGCCTGTGTGCGGGAGCACGACCTTTGCACCCGCACCCCCACAGCGGTGAGATGGTTCTGGAGGCTGGACACCAGTTCCGACTGGTGGGACCAGCTGGTCATGGCGCGGTGGCTCCAAAACTTCACGTGGACGGTCACCTTTGTGGAGCATCCCTGCCCTTCAACGATGGGACACCCTGGAGAAGAGGGTCACCATCGCCTTCTGGAAGCTCGCCCCCCCAGACAGCTACTGGTCAGTGGGCAACCAATGCGGCTTGGGGAAGTCCACCACTGGGACTCCTGGCGGTAAGGCACTCTCCTTGGGCTGCAGTCCCTGTGGGGAGGGGAAGACAAGTTCTGGAAAGGAGGGTGGGGAGGAAAGCCTCGTCCCTGAGGGGTTCTGCTGTCCCGCCCTCACACAGCCCTGCTGCTGAGGGGATGCCATAGTGGGGGGTCTCCTGGGGTGTTGGGGGGAGGGAGGAGAGAGGGGCAGGCACCTCCGGAGGGCTCAGGCACTCCCTCTCATTCTCTCTTTCATGTGTTTGTCTGTCTCCTTGTGAGGGCCATCAGCTCCCTGCTGCTGTGCAGGCTCATCCGCCTGGGAGACCTGCACCCCATCATCACAGGATTTGCCTCCCTGGGGTTCCCGAGCGATCAATGGAACCCACATCCCACTCCGCCCACCAAGTCATTGAGCGGCTCAATACAGAAACCCCAAGGGCTACCTTTCGATGGTGCTCCAGGCCCTGGGCGAGCCCTGGACAGTTCACGTTTTGTTAGGTGGGCAGGCAGGGGCTTTTGAAACTCCAGACTCTACGGTTGGGGACACGCAGATGCCATTGGGGGACGCTGCCTTGCCCCGATGTCATGGCTGATGAAGCCGTACACTGGCCAGCAGGGACCAATTCAGTTCCCACCTCAGCTGGGCCCAAATCCAGGTGGAGTGCGCCTTCAGGCACCTCAAGGTGCCTGGACATGGGGGAGCACGGCCTCCCTGAGGTGGTGGCGGCATGTTGCGTGCTCCACAACATGGCGGAGAGGAAGGGGGAGAGGCCAGCCATGAAGGAAGACCCTTCGAACAGCACGGACGGCTGCATCCCCCAGGCCCATCAGGCCGAGGCGGGTCTCCAGGAGGCCCTGAGGGAGAGGTTCTCTCAAGGATCCCAGTCACTCTCCTCGGGGCCTCCCCACTAGGGCCCTCGGCCTTGCTCCACTATCCCTCTCCCACCACAACCTCGCCCTTCCCCCGGTCACCAAACTCTCACACACACCAGCTTTGATTTGAACAAAACAAACTTTGTATTTGACTTTCAATAAAATAAACTGGGGGGGAGGGGGAGCGGGACTCGGGGCTGGGAGTGGTGAGGGGCTGATGGGAAATGCCACCTCGGGTGTGGAGTCTTCAGCAACAGTGGGGTGGGCTGGAGGAGGAAGGGGCAGGGGCTGGGCGTGCCATGATTTCCACATGATGACATGTCCTGCTGCACAAGCTGGGCCCCTGCGTGGCTCCGCCAGGGTCTGCTGTACGTTGCGCAGGACACCCACGTGCTGCCTCACGGATGTGCATGGGGGTGCCCGGGGGTTGGGCAGCGGCGTGGATCACCCCTCGGCAACAGCTGGCCCGGCTGTGGAGAACACAGAGCGAGAGGCCGTCAGTCATCCATGCAGACACTGTCCCTGAGGCCGTGCCCTCTGTGAGCAGCGACCCCCAGAGAATGGGGATGTCCCAGGAGCAAAGCCACAGCCCTGCCTCACAGGGGCCCCGCAGGGCCCAGGGGACCATGCAACCTGCTGCTCCTTCCCACCCTGCACCACAGACAGTGTCCAGCCACAGTGGGATCCCTTAGGCAGGAGAGGGGCCTGGAGTAACTGGCCCTCCCTCGGGCCCACACACACCTGCACCTGGCAGTTCTAGCTGCAGGAGCGGGTGGTGCCTCAGGCAGGCATGCCCATGTGCTGCACACAGCTCTCCTCGGTTTGTGCGGGGTCGTGCGTGCACCCTCGTGGCCCGCCTACTTCCAGCAGTAGCTGGTGGGGGGAGAGCGTCCCCCCCACAGTCAGACATGAGCGTCCCCGCCGCGGTCAGATGTGTGTGACCTCCCGAGACTTCCCCACGCACTGACTGAAGCACGATGTCCAGGCCAAAAAGGCTGAGCCATGATCGTACCCTATCCCCTCTGCATCTGCCTCCCCCACCCTGTGTGCCCTCACCTGCTAACCCTGCCCCATCGTCCAATGGACCTGGACCACCTATTGTGAGGAAGGATTGTTCAGTGAATGACTGTGCCAACTAGCACTGCTTCATGGACAATGGCTCTCAGAGTGGCCAATACATACCTGAGGAATGTGTCGGGAAACCTGCAGCCCAGCCAATGCAAAATGGCTACTTGCATGTGAAATATAGACAGGTCACTTGATTATGTGACCAGCTCCAGTTTGGGAGACACCAGGAATATAAAAATCCCATGAGGCCATCTCCATCTTATCTTCAATCTTGCTCCTGATCCCAGATGCAGCCTTGCTAGGGACAGTGAGTGGAAAGGACTGCCGACCCGCCCTGATACAGGCTGGATACCAGAGACTTCTAAACTAGCCCTTTGTAACATCTCTGCTAAGAGCCTGCATCCAGAACGTGGTGATTGAGGCATGGAACGTATTCTTAACCTCACTCTCCACTTTCTCTTTCTTTATTAATAAAACCTTTAGATTTTAGATTGTAAAGGATTGGCCCAGTGTACTCTTGTGGGTAAGATCTAAAATGTAAATTCACTGGGGACTGCGGCTGGTTCTTTGAGACCAGGAGGACCTGTTCAGAGTTGGTGAGATTGGGTTTTATAACCTCTCACCTGTGTGTAAGGTCCAGGGCGGATTGTGGCACAGGGAGAGCTGGGATATCTGAGGGGTTTTGCTCATGAGGCTTCCTGCTGGCCAGCTTGGCAGCCGAAGTGCTCGATGTGAGTGGTTTGAGGCCTATTTGGGAAAGATCTCCAGTTGAGAGCAGTAAGTAGCCCTGGTTTTGAGCAATTCACTCCGAGCTGACGCCCTGGCCCGGTCCATCACACTCCACTGCACTGAAACAGCAGATCAGAGTGGTTACTGGCTGGGCCCATCCTGGTTTCTTAGGGCCACTCAGTTAAGTACAGCACTGAGGAAGCTCACACAAGAAGCAAGACAGGCAGCTGTAGATACATCTTGGTATTAATCATAAATCTCTGTATTAATCATTTTCTCATTGAAGTTTTTAACTTTATTCTACCGAGACTTAATACAAAGAACGAGTAAGGTAAAGAGAACAACGCTGTGGAGTGACTGACGGGTGAATGGCTAAGGCAGGGAAGACGAGCACCTCAAGGCAGTTGCAACGGTTGGAGAAGGGATGGAAGCCAGAACCAAGAACAATGAGATCTGTGAAGTGGGCTTATTGAAAGAAAACTGGACCTATGGACAGCAGCAAGCACCTGCTTTGGGAAGCCCCCTCTTTGAAGGTGAATGTGGCAGCATTGAGACACCAGCGAGAAGGCACCACTAAGATAATGCATATGCATATTTGACTCACAGATGATGCATATGCATGAGATGACTAACTGATGTAGATCTGCGGGAGAGGGAAGACATTATAAATCAAAGGCATTTTGCAGGGGGACCCCAGATTTCATCTTGTCAACATGGGAGCATCGATCCAGATCTGCAGAAGCCCAGCTCCACCCCTCCCCCACTTAAATCACCTGGCCAGTGCAGTTAGGGGGAGCAACTATTGGTAACAAGATGGGGGAGTGTGCGTGTGATAGCGTATGCACATAAAATAAATGTTGATTGACATACGTGCTACCAATAAAAGTGGCGTTTTGCCTTTTCCCGTGCAGTATAACACAGCTTGCAGCAGATGTTATGGGAGCTCTCCAGTAAACCAGACCATTTCAAGCTAGGCTGCAGGTTGATGACAACCTGACCCCCATCATCCCCTCCCCTTTCCTCCCCAAAGAAATGAAATACAAATGTTCAGGATAAAACCAACCCTGAGATCACTGGCCAGAGTGGTTCTGCAAGGAGACCAAATGGCAGCAGCTGGGGTGCCATTCCTGGGGTGTCATGGGCCTTTTCCACCTCCCTGCGAGCATTTTGTCCTGCTCAGGCAGGCCCCTCCAATGCTTCTGTCCACAACTCCTTGGAGCAGGGCCACACTCGGCTGCAGGAGAACCGTATGGTGACTTGCCTGCCTAGTGCGAAGATTGCGGATCTTTTGAGGTATCTAGACAGACTTCTGTGTAGTGGTGGGGAGGAGCCGGTGGTCGTGGTACATGTAGGTACTAATGACGTAGGGAATGGTAGGAGAGACGTCCTGGAGGCCAAATTTAGGTTGCTAGGAAAGAGACTGAAATCCAGGACCTGGAGAATGGTGGCATTCTCGGAAATGTTTCCAGTTCCACGCGCAGGGCCAGGTCGGCAGGCAGAGCTTCAGAGTCTCAATGTGTGGATGAGACGATGGGGTAGGGAAGAGGGGTTTGGATTTATTAGGAACTGGGGACACTTTTGGGAGAGGGGGAGCCTGTACGGGAAGGATGGGCTCCACCTAAACCAGGGTGGAAGCAGACTGCTGGCACTGAACATTAAAAAGGCCATAGAGCAATTTTTAAACTAAGAGATGGGGGAAAGCTGATTGGATCGGAGGGAGACTTCTTAGAGGAGAATCCATTGATGGAGATTGTCTAAGCTGTAGTCAGAAAGAGAGGAGGGGAGAGGACAGGAGGGGAGAAGACAAACCATGGGCCAGAGCAGACAAACAACCGCACCTAAAGGAATCCAATGCATCAGGGAAGGGCAGACAAATAAGCAGTGGCAAATTTTTAAAGTGCTTCTACACAAATGCTAGGAGTCTGACTAATAAGATGGGTGAACTAGAGTACCCGGTATTAAAGGAGGAGATTGACATAATAGGCATCACTGAAACGTGATGGAATGAGGAAAATCTGTGGGACACAATCATACCAGGATATAAAATATATCGAAAGGAGAGAGCAGGCTGGGTGGGTAGTGGAGTGGCACTGTATGTGAAAGATAATGTAGAAT